TCTTTACAGATTCCAACTGTTATTCACGTAGGAACATCAGATAAGAAAACTCGTAAAGACGAGTAATATACCCCTTTTACCATACCTGGTGTAGTGCAAATCTTTCTCCAAGGGGAGGCCTGGAAGCTTTCAAATGTTTCAGCCAATGACTGCTATTATCAGTAAAGGGCCAATACGGTAACTGGTAATGAAAATAATCAGTAACTTCTTCAGATAACCAAAGGTATTAACCTCTCCTAAATATGGAATAATCTTACAATGTCAAAACCCAATGTTTTGTTCTGTTGGTCTCTCCAAGTATTGTTTGGCCTCCAAATTCTTCTTCCTGAGAAGTCTCTGAATAAGTGACGTCTGGTTTCTGCCTGGATGGTACTTGTTTGCATTTGATCTTGACAGTCCTTGTGGCACTGGGAAGTGGCCTACTAATGGTGATGGCTGGAGGCTGTATTTCATTGTGTGCTGGACTTGATCTACCATTAGCTTTTAAGACTAGGCCATAAAGTGCCCTCACTGTGCTCTCCCTCAAGAATGCTGATTTAGATCAAAATGGTTGACCTTTTGTACTCAAACGGTTGTGGTCAGTGGCATGAAGCCAATCACTAGTGGCATCCCCAGGGGTACACTGATCCAGTACTGTTTAACATGGTCATTAGTGACCTGGATGATGGACGGAGTGCACCTTGAGTAAGTTTGCAGGATATGCAAAACTGGGAAGAGTGGCTGATACACCAGGTGGTTGTGCTGCCATTCAGAGGGACCTTGACAGGCTGGAGAAATGGGACAACAAGAACCTAATGAAATTCAAGAAAGAGAAGTATGAAGTCCTGCACATGGTAGGGACTGACCTCATGCATCAGTACAGACTAGAGGCTGACTCTCTGGAAAGCAGCTTTTCAGAAAAGGGCCTGGATGTCCTGGTGGACAAAAAATGGAACATAAGCCAGCAGTGTGCCCCTGTGACTCCTGGTCTGTATTAGGAGAAGCATTGCCAACAGGGCAAGGGAGGTGATCCCCTCTGCTCAGCACCGGTGAGGACGAATAACCAGCAGGTTCAGTTGTGGGTCCATAACTGGCTCCACTTCTGGGGTTTGTAGGACAAGGACATGCTCATACTGGAGCAGGTCTGGCAAAGGGCCATGAAAATAATGAAGGACTTGGAGCATCTGTCATTTGGAGACGCTGAGAGAGCTGGGACTGTTTATCCTGGAGGAGTGGAGAGGAGGCTCGAGGAGATCTTAAGAATGTATGTAAATACCTGACGGAGCGGAGTAAAGCATCAGCATACACAGCAGCAGATGTGCTGGTTGTTTTGATTTCTGTGTTTTGGATTCAAATACTGACCTGGAATTTTGATAATTTTATTGGAATTAGCATATCTTTTAAGCAGTCCCTTACATTTTAAAGTTTCATTTGTGGAATCAACATGCAAATTGAAACATATGCAAAGATATTTATATATGGTTGACGATTGCCATAGCATTTAAAGGCCTGAAATTCATAAAGCGGGCAATAAATACAAGAGATTGAGAATCTTTCATTAACACTATCAAAGCTGGAAAATTTTGAAAGACTATTGACTTAAAGCAGTGCAAAGACTGGAGAGTTTGGCCTCATTATCTCAGCAAGTCTTTGTTCACTCTGATAATAAACCAAAGTGGTTTGGCCTGCACCTTTACTGTATAGTCTATATAGCGTTTTTGGAGAATACTTGTGAGCCACTTGGAACATTTCTGAAGGTGGATAGAGTTTATATTCCGTGTGTTTAGGGAGGTTAAAATGTTTCTGTACACAAAGTACTTTATCTCAGGTATACACGGTGTTCTAGCATCAAATCTGGAGAAGTTTGGAGTCTTAATGAGGTCCTGTAACAGCCATTAGTCAGTGTGAGGTGTTGATGCATGCACACGGGACCTGGAGATCTGGCTTTGAACACGTGTGTGTTGATATCATGCACGACATATCATTCAACGTGAACGTACAGATTATCTTCTTAGAAACCCCCAAGCTTTTTACACCATACTGAAAAGCTATGCCTTTGGATGCTAAGCGATCTGTCTCTGCCTTTTCCATGAATGATCTTTTTGTCTGGTTTTTGCTTCTTGTCTTCACCGAGTGATGTCCTGTTGCTCAGGGTACCACATGGGAGTAGCAGGTTAAATCATGCTCATGCTCTCGGTAATCTTATCAGAAGACCTCATGCTTCAGAAAAATGGGAAGGGAAAGAAGACTTTCGGTTTGTGTGTGTAGTGCCTTTTATTGCACTAATGTGAAATAATTCGATGAGATGGACAGCAGCTGATCAAAACAAAATCTCATTAAGATCTGTCTGCACTTTGCCTTTACTCTCCTTTGTGTAAAAAGATTGTGAAGCTTTCTGTGACCAGACAGTAACCTGTGGTAACCTGTAGTGTGCGTACATTTATGGGTGATGAATAAAACCATTGTTATCATCCTAAAATGTTGGCATCAATATTGTGCTAATAACATTTGGAAGTTTCTGCTTTATCAGCAGCAATGACTGGCAAATAATCAGCTGTTTTGTAATGGGAAGCTTAAAATAGCAGCCGAAGACATCTGAGTTAAGCTTCATGGAAAAACACATTGCTGCGTTGATTATGATACCATTTTTGTTGTGTAAGGATGACATGATGATTGCTTTAGCTTTTTAGACATACAATGCAATTAAGAATAATCAGTTTCCCCACACATTCCACAAAGCAACTGAAGCACTAATTCTAATAACCGGGCCTTTAAATTTAGAGTGACTTCCGCTGCTGCCTGGGCAGCCCATGGGTACAGATGCATGTTTCATAGCGGTATGCAGCTGTTGTGGGATTGCAGTCTTCTGACAGAGATGCACATCTCAAAAGAAGTTGCTGATAAACGGTAAACTCTGTAATATCTGCCCATACTACCAATTTAAATATATTCTGGAGTGCAGAGGAAGGGCATCCGTGTATAAATACCTATGACATATATTATGGGCTTTGCAATCTGTAATGGGCATCCAGACTAGAAGTGTAAAAGAATTTGTAAAATAATTTCTAATTTGTGTTTACTGGAAGTAGTAGGTGGTCACATCAATAAAAACTACATGGTGTTACATATGCACACAGATACATGTCGTGTTTACCCCGTAATTTGTGTGAAATGTGCGTGGCTGGTTTTAGAATTCAGAGCATCAGCAAAGACAGGTCAGGATTTGAGCAGGGTGTTCAGAAAACAGACTTTGCTTCTAACTGAAGGTGGTGAGTTTATGCTGAGAGTTTTAGTTCATAACTATTCCTACTAAAAGCCATTTATTTGGGGGGGCAGGGGAGTGTCTTACATAGACCAGAGTCTGTCATGATTGTTTTAGACAGAAATCTACATGGAGAGATATATCTAAAATATGTTTATGCATTCATATACAACTTTCTTTTCTGTATTCTTTCCCCAAATTTTTCTGTGCTCATTGCTTTCCTCAGCGTGAGTATGCAGTACCTTTATATTATGCATGCTTCTAGACTTTTACTGTATTGGGGCGAAGTCAATGAGACTTTTTTGCATGCTTGGGACGAAATGATTGCTGAATTTCATGTTTGCTTGCTAAGGATCTTAGACTGAAGTGCTTAATTAAATGTGTGAAAAATAAATTGCTACTCTTTTATCACTGACCAGTACTATTTACCAAGAAATGAAACAGCGAGAGGAAACAAGTGAAATCCGAACTATGATGTACAGTTACTTGCATTTCAGTGGACATAATTTTCCACTTACAATTTTAAAGCTTGGACTATAACAGATGTGGATTTAGTTGTATCTGTATGAAAGATTGTAAACTGGAATAGCATATTCCTGTTTGTGAAGAAGAATAAGGCACAGTGGCATGAGAAGTCTTATTATTATTAAATTATTCCCACACTAGGGCTTATATTCCTGTGTTATTTTACGAAAATTTATAGGGAGAATTCACACCTTTTGATCAGGACAAGATAGCTCATAATAAAATTGATTTATGAGAATGGAAGATGAGTTTTGCTCTCTGGAAGAAAGTATTGCAAGGCCTCGTCACCATTAGTGCACCAGCCTGTTCTGGCTTCTTGCACTGAAGTCAAATTAATAGTGGAAAATTTTTTCCCAAATGCTTGTTGAAACTGTGGTTGTAATACGGATGACTGAAGCTGCAGTTACACAGCCTTGTGTAAGAGAGAGGTGTGGAGGAAAGGGGAATATGTTCGCATGGTCCAATTTGAGAAGGTGCCCTGGCACAATGGTAAAAATCTAGGATGATGCCAATTACAGAATTTTCGTTTTTCCACTGAAAATCTAAGTGCAGATGATTTAGACTGAAGTGAAAGCTGTTATGCCCTACCCATTTAAGCATTCTGTTCACCATGAAATGTGCGAGTAAGGCCACTGTAATGAAGTCAAAAGAACAAAAATAAATCCTTAAAGCTGGAAAAGAAGTCTCATTTTCTCCAGAAGCTCAATCTTGAGACCGCTGACCAAGGAGACAGCTTAATCTCCAGCTGAAGAGCTCCAAAGATGCAGCCTATCCCTTTCATCCCCATAAGAGTCCTTAACTTGCTATTGCTATTTGGCAATTTTTTTTTTTTTTGCATGTTTGGTCAGGGTCTGTAACACCTCAGTGCAGCTGGCTGCTCTCAGTCAGGCTAAGAGTGAAGTTGAATAAAGAACTCCGGGCAAGTAAGTGTTTACCTGGTAAATCCTTCTCAGTCTCTGTGAGTGTGGGATATATTTGCAAAGTTTCAGGATGCCTCAAGACACATGTTCAGCAAATAAACTAATAACCAAGATAACTTTGTAACTAGAAAAATCAAAAGGGCCTCATCCTTCCTTGTGGATGCCTTTGAGCCACTTTTATAGAACTAGAGATTGAGTCTGAATGCAAATGTTTAAGGAATTAATTTCAACATTATTTACAAATTTTTCACTTAAAAAATGTGCTCATATTTTATAGTTTAGGTACATCTTATCACCTGTCTTTATTCTTACAGGCTTTTAAGACCAAGGATGGCTACATCGTGGTGGGAGCTGGAAACGATCAGCAGTTTGTCACTGTGTGCAAGGTAATGGTGTGTTAGGTGACAGTACAGATATGTGCAATAGTTTCCGTCCTGACTAGGAAAATAATTACTGATTGCTTCTTAATTCCCCTTTTTTTGTGAAAATAAGTAGTGAGTATAAATTCTAACCCTGGGGTTCTGGCTGGTACTTTAGCAGAGTGATAAAGGGTTCTGTGCTTTGCCTCTGTATTCAGAACATCACAATTCCTAAACTTGGCCCTTTTGAAGTCTGTGCAACTGCACAGCTAATTAGCTGAAAAGTGAACAAAGTAGCAGCCTTCCACTTCTGGAATGGTGAATGACACAGAGGTCACACTGGTGCCTTTTTCAAGAGGAAATGTGACACTGTCTCCATAGAATACATTGTAGGCACAGCTACTAAGAAAGCAAAGGTAGGGGATGGGTGGTTCTTGTGCCACCTTAATCAGCAGCCAAGTGCGTAGTCCTTTCGAACACTAGTATGTGCTGGTCTGTGCTCACAGAGAAACTTGCAAACTTCTTAGAACTTGGGCAGACTTTGGAGTGGTGCAGAGATATTACGTTGAAGAACAAATCTTCAAACCAGACAGCTGTTTTCAAAATCTGGTAACTTCACCATTTTGAACTGAAGGAACATGACTCTGGCAATTCTGTTTTCACAGAGTGTAGCTTGGAAAGTTGTAAAATAGTTTTGGGTTTTTCACATACTCTTTTCCTGTTGTTTTAGTACCTGGAATTGCTTTTCCCTGTGCAGTGAATACATTTTAAAAGAGAAGGCGTGATTGTAGGGAGACAATTTTGATTAAATGAAGTGTAGCGACATTCCGAACTAAAGACCCCAGTAACGCATAAGCTGGGACAAGTGGAGTTTTGCATATAGCAAAGCTATATGCATTTTTCTAAATGAGAGTTCTTTCTTTTTGCTGCCATTATGGTTTTTCTCTGGGAATTTGGATATTTAGCCTAAATTATTCAGACTTTAAATGAGCTGGCAGCCTCAGGAAATTAAGCATTATTTTCCTCCATTTTCCTCCTTGGTTTCTGTCAGACATATAACATTTCCATGGATGTTCACAACTAAGAACTGGAACATGTAGTAAGAAGACAGTGCAGCTGTGATTCTCTCTTCGTGCAGTTTGGGCTACGTACCTTGCTATCTGGAGGGCTCTGGTTTCATTTGCCTGAATTGGCTATCTCAATGCATAGCAAGTTAACTGCTTCAAAGTTTTCTCAGTGGGTTTTCTTCATACTGGTGTCCAACCACAATAGTATGGTTATTATCTTAACATGAATGAAGACTAATGACTGAGTAAGTGTCTACCATCCACAACTCAGTTTTGTCAAAGACTCATTGTCTCATAAAGGAAATCTTTCCAAAAAGTCCCAGGAAGTAGCTGTGAATGTCTTCTTGGTGCTTAATCGTCTGAAGTGAAGAATTACGTACCAAACGCTGGTCATCCTGCCATCCTTGAAGTAAGGCAGAGCTGAAGATCTGGCTCAATAGGTTCTGACACCATGGTGTGAGACAGAAGGCACTAAAAATTCAGACTGTGTATTCACCTCACTTTAAGACGCAGCTGAGAGACCGTGTGACTTGTTGCTACATACTCCCTCTGTAATCAGTAAGGAGTGAATGGTACCCCGGAAGATGAGGCAACGTTTCTATGATTTGTGTGACCTCAGAATTTGTTGAACTAAAATTAAGCGAGAAGAATAATGGCCCCGGTCTGTAGGCTGGTGTTTTTTTGTTTCATCCTTATACAGGTGTTCTGGTATTTCTAAATTTGAAAGTAGGAGCTGGAGAACATGGAGAAATGATCATTGCTCACACTTCAAAGGGATTAAAAACCAGAAAAAAATAATTGAAGTTTTGGATAATGGTTATATTTTTCTATAAACCAGTTATCATATTTGTTTGTAAAAAGAACAGTCTTTTTATCCTTACCAAGTTATTGTACATATTGATTTGGACTGTTACATTGCCCAGAAATGGAGTGATGTGGAAGTCAGTAGAATGCTGTGAAACCCACTAGAGGTATGCGCTGTGCTCAGTTGAAGGTGATTTGGAACTTAAAACACCATGAAGTGGGGGAGCCAATAGAGGAAGAGGACTTTATTACAGGAAGGCCTGCAACACCCTGGTGAACCTTCAGTAAATAGAGACCACTCATTCAAACATGGGAACTGCTATTAGAGAACCTTTCTAAAATGAGCTAAAAATACAGGCTGTGTGGAAGCTATTGCCCTGAAGACACATATTCCAGAGATATAACAGCTGGCTCAAGCTGTAAACAATTGCAAACATTCTGCTTCAACTGTATCTTTTCAGGCAAGCAGAAAGATAAAACTGGAATAATTCACTGGGGTATTTTCAAAATCAATGACAATTAACTGTAGCTTTTGTGGGGTTGTGGGTAATTGCAGAAAAACTTTGTAACATTGCTGGCTGAAGTGCATTGCGTAGCAGTCAAGGGTTACAAAAGCAGAATTCTGATGTGTGCTGCTTTGGACTAAAGAGGAGTGCTGACCTCAGAAGACTGAGCTCTTCTGTACAGCAAAGGAGAGTACAGACAAGTTTGCTAGTACTGGGGGACAAAACGCAGAGACTGTAAATTCTGAATGTGAATCTTGGATCTTGAAGAAGGCCTAGAAGTGGAGAATAACAGTTTCATTCCAAGTGGTCACAGTGAAATACAGAAAATAACACTGGCAGCGTGATGCAGAAAGATGAATGGCGCATTAATTAATAACTTCTATAATGAATAACTAAATGTGCATTTGTTAGTTGCAAGAAAATTGAGAAGAGCATATATAGACACACAGCTTTACAACAGATGGGCACTAAGTTAAAGCTGAAGTCAGTAACATTAATTAAAACAGTAGAGTGAGCAACTCCATATGATCATTTTCATCTCATTAAATGAAATCATAGTTTTCTGATTAATTTCACGGGTTTTTTTAAGCTCTCATAAATAAGTATTCACTATCATTTACTTTGAACAATCTTGCATGATTTTTTTCTCTAAAGCAATGATTTGTAACTCCAAAATAGCAGTATTACAAAGAGGGGATAATTTTAAGGGGGTACTAATATTATTGTCAAACTTTCAGATGCGGAAAAGAAGAACTTCCTCTAAAGCTAGATTACGATATGTTATGATTTTCATAAACTACATTGAGTAAACAGAGAAGGAAAAAAAATGTGCTGTGAATTAAGTGTTGATGGAAGATGCTAGATTGATGCTTTATGTTACCTTGCAGATAAAAAGCTGCAGAAAAGTTGTGCAATACGGCCATTGTTCTAACATAACTTACTGATATGTTGGTTTCTATGCGTAGTTTTGTCACTCTCAGGGACAACTATGTCAAAGGTGACTATCTGTTTTGAATATCTCCAAATATCTGTTGAAAGAATACCTGTTCTGCTGATGATTTGAAGTCATCAACAGCTATTCACTTGGAAGGGAAGCCATATCCTTATTCACTCCAGCAAAGTGAGGAGTCATTAAATAATAGTGGCCTTGGTCTGAATTAATCTCAAAGGACTTAAGAGAGTTTTAAGTTTGAGGCAGATGTCAGAGAGATTGACACCAATCTATGTATCACTTACATGTGGTAGTACATAGGCATATGTATTCAAGGAGTGGCTGAACATGTTAATAAAACAAAAATTTATTAAGGATCACTAAATACATAGAAAACAGCTCCAACTCAGAAATGCCCTAATCTAAAGATGGCTGGAGTTTGGATGAATATTATGGAAGTATCGTATGTACTGGCCCTGTTCTTAAGCTCTTTCTAAGCATCAGCACTCAGCCACAGGCAGAGATAGGATGGTGGGCTATAGGGACTTTGAGCCAGTACTGTTTTTTTGTAAGCCGTCTGGGAAATGGCCCTGTAAAAGAATGTAGCATGTTTATAATGACTATAAAACTCATGATAAGTAAAGTTGATCTTGAGCGTGTGTTGGTGAGTAAAAATACATGAAGAATACATGACAGTGTCTTTCTTTGTAGACTTCTATTCTGCCTTCCTCAGTAGCTGGTGTTATTTGTTTATTTTATTTTAAATTTGGAAAGCACAATTCATTCCATATAAATACATAGTGGCATGAAGAGATAGATTGTTTAGTAAGTATTGATTGCCCATGCAGCTACTCTGTAAATGCCTCTACAAAATTCTAAGAGTCATTTTCCATGTTTAATTCCCTTTATAGTGTAATTCACATTGTCTTTGCATGATGGTTAAATTTCTAATGTGCCAGGTGGGAGAAACATATAGAAGCTATATATCTTCTTTCCTGGAGGTTGTACCTTCATTTTTCTTTATTAATTCTTTAGGAAGAAATCATGAAGAAAACCTATGACATTTCAATAGAAAAACACCTTTTCATTTTTTTTTGCCTTTTTGACAGAAATTACTGAAGTGGAAAGAAATATTCTTAGACGTAGCTTTTCTCAGTATAGCATATGAAGTACAGTCATTTTTCTTATTTTGCGATATAGAACCTAGTGCAGGATAATCCTACAGATCTCTCCAACCTCACGGTAATAACTTACAAGCTTCTACAATAAGAATTTCTCCTAGCTAATTGTGAAAATTATCAACTAAGATTTGGATCTTTGGTTCAATTTCTGTCTTTTGCTGTACTTGTTATGTAACATGAACCAGGAGGCATTAGGTTATCTTAATTTCCTAATCTATATTAAAAGATTAATGAGGAGTAGTGACTTTTGGAAAGCTATCTCAAGTCAGGAATGAATTTCCTTAGCTATATAAATGTCTCCTGCCAAGCACATGTCTTACTTACCTTTATTTTTATTTAGATCCTGAATTTGCCTGAAGTTAGTAAGGATTCCAGATACAAAACTAATATGCTCAGAGTCCAGAACAGAAAGGAACTTATTGACATATTGTCAACCCGGTAAGTTAATTAAAAGGGAAGAAATGACGTGTGATCTGTTAATGCAAATACTCACATATAAGAAGCTCTCATCATGTGAAAATTTTACTTTACTCTTTTGAGATACTTTTTTTTGAAAGCAAGTATTGAGAACACTTCCTGATGTTGAATAGACTGCCTTTTGCACACATCCTATGGCGTGAACTAGCAAGAAGCCAGACCAATGATTTAAGTTTTCAGAAACCATTTTAACTTATTTTTAACCATTAACTTAAATTTTAGTGAAACAACCAGTGCTTTCTGCTGTCCTGGATGAATGCAACTCCTGGAAATAAAATGCTTGGAGCACCGTTTGCATTTGCTGTGAATGGGATTTTAAAGTTTTCACAGAGAGTTGCTGTATTTAATGGAGTTCCACTTGATGATGCTCCCTCACTGCACGTTCTGTATAGTGGTACTCTGTGCCCAAACTCTCCATGAGTCAATCCTTTGGAAATCAAAAGGATATGTGCTTAGTATTCTACGTGAGGATCATCCTATTAAATACTTTAATTAAAAATTATTTAAGAGGAAGCTCAGGAGCCCTTTATTTCAGAGGTTAAATTAGCTGAGTTATCTTCCTTGTTCTGTTTGAGAAGACCTTATTTCTGCAGAGTGCTCTTGTGTTTAATGGAGAGGATGATAAATTTATGTAACATAAGAAAAAAACTAATCTGTGTAAAGATTCCCAAAGGGGCTTCATACTTCGAGGGATGAGCAGAAGAGACAGCATATCTACTCTTGTCAATGATTCAAGAAAAGTCACGCTATCGTTTTGACACTTGGCCTGTATGATTCTTTGTCAACAGTTGTGTAACAATTGTCATTCAGGCAATGTATTGGGTTTTTTTAGGTGCGTTAAGTCAGATGCCTCCCCTTTTCATTCTATCTGAGAGATGAATCACAGAATCATAGAATCATGGGTTGGAAAAGACCTCTGAAATCATCAAGTCCAACCATCCACCCAACACCACCATTCCTACAAAACCATATCCCGAAGTACCACATCTACACATTTTTTGAACACCTCTAGGGATGGTGACTCCACCACTTTCCTGGGCAGCCTGTTCCAATGTCTGACCACTCTTTCAGTGAAGAAATTCTTCCTAATATCCAATCTAAATCTCCCCTGATGCAACTTGAGACCATTGCCTCTCATTCTGTCTCTAGTTACTTGGGAAAAGAGACCAACACTCACCTCGCTACAACCTCCTTTCAGTTAGCTGTAGAGAGTGAGAAGGTCCACCTTCAGCCTCCTCTTCTCCAGACTAAACAGCCCCAGTTCCCTCAGCCGCTCCTCATAAGACTCGTTCTCGAGATCCCTCACCAGCCTCGTTGCCCTTCGCTGGGCATGCTCCAGCAACTCAGTGTCCTTCTTGTAGTGAGTGGCCCAAGCCTGAACATGGTACTCAAGGTGTACTCACCAGAGCCGAGTACAGGGGCACAATCACCTCCGTACTCCTGCTGGCCACACTGTTCCTGATACAAGCCAGGATGCCACTGGCCTTCTTGGCCACCTGGGCACACTGCTGGCTCATGTTCAGCTGCCTGTCAACCAACACCCCAAGATCCTTTTCTGCTGTGCATTTTTCCAGCCACTCTTTACCCCAAGCCTGTAGCGTTGCATGGGGTTGTTGTGACCGAAATGCAGGAGCGAGCATTTGGCCTTCTTGAACCTCATATGACTGACCTCAGCCCATCAATCCAGTCTGTCCAGATCCCTCTGCAGAGCCTTCCTACCCTCGAGCACATTGACACTCCCACCCAACTTGGTGACATCTATAAACTTACTGAGGGAGCACTCAATCCCCTCATCCAGATCATTGATAAAGATGTTAAACCAGACCGGACCCAAAACCGAGCCCTGGGGGGAACACCACTCATGACCAGAGTGTCAGGAGCATGCCCTTTCCCCTCCTCTCAACCCCACACATGTTTTGGATATGGAACGTTTTGGATATTGTGCCGGGCAATGGGCACAAATGGAAGCATAGGAAGTACTGTCTGAACACAAGGAAGAACTTCTTCACTCTGAGGGTGATGGAGCAGTGGAACAGGTTGTCCAGGGAGGTTGTGGAGTCTCCTCCTCTGGAGATATTCAAGACCCGCCTGGACAAGGTCCTGTGCAGCCTGCTGTAGGTGACCCTGCTTCAGCAGGGGGGTTGGACTAGGTGACCCACAGAGGTCCCTTCCAACCCCAGCCAGTCTGGGATTCTGTGAAACCAGAATCATCTTGCATTGGAAACTGTAGGGAGAGTGATTTTGCTTCTTCCTGCATTTTCAAATAATTACGGTACAACTGTTCATAATAAACTTTTGGAAGTCATCTTTTACTTGCCTTCCTGTGACAAATGTATTGTGATATCACAGATGAACCCACTCTTCCTATAAATTTTAAGCCCTTGAAATGGCATAGTTATCTTTTGACCTACTTTTGAGCTCTTACAATCTTCACAATCTTAGTTGTTCTTTAAATGAATTGCCAGAATTCAATTTTTTTTTTATATCTGTAGCTATTAGTTCATCAGGTTACCTCATTGCTCTTTTAATTACTGCTTTATGTCTTTTTTGTCAGAGTTTATGTTCTGTTTTATTAGCGTGATTTAGGCTGAATTTCTGTGTAATTTATAGGCAAGTATGTGACTGTATACACATTTTTGGAGGAGATGTTTCCAGTAGTATTTTGTTATGTCATGTTATTGTGAATTCACCTGGCATTCAGCTTTAAAACACTGACTGTAACAAACACCTTTGGCATTCTAATGGAGATCAAATATGTTTCTATACACATTCCATGGAAACTGGTTTTATTCACTAATGCACAGTTGTTTGTAAAATTATATGTGGCTCATTTTTGAAGTTACTTAAAGAATCAAATGAATAGTGTCTCAATAGTGAAAAATGTCAACCCTAGAGAAATGAAGGGAAATGACAAAATAGTAATGGTAGAATTTCACTGAGAAGTACCTCAATTAAATCACTGATTGCTTGATAGTGTTGCAGCTTCCAACACATGGAAAATATAAATCTAAGGTGCAGTAGTTGGAACGAAACACCTGCAGACCCTCCCATTCACTTACTATCTGCACACTGCTGTCCACTTCTCAATGGATTTGTGGAGACATGAGCTGGAGCAGCTTAGAAGAGTTGTGATTTTCTTGACATGGGTTCTACTGCAGTCACGTTTGTTAAGATGGTGACCTCCTTTGTGTGGTGGAAGGCAAAAGGGACATGGAAATCCTTGAAGGATTTAATCGGGCCATTCATCCATGTCTCATTTTGATATTGTGCCAGGCAGGTTGCATATAACTTGAAGCAAAGCAGCTTTTTTCCAATGATGTTGCAATGGAAAAAGTCAGCAAACTTGTTTGGTGTGCTAGGCTGAGCAGTAAAAAGCAGGTAAATATTTGCATTTATGTACAGGAATATGGTGATTCCTAAATGTTCCTTCTCTTTTGTACGTGCTTGGAAACATAAATGGGAATTATGGTCCTGTAGTGGAATCCTTTGAGATTGTTGCTGCTGATAAGGCCAGTGAAAAGATTCACGGATATGGTCTGTGTCTCAGTATCTCAGCAGTAATTAGGGTGTCTAGAAGCACATGAGAGGAAACATATAGTTGTATTTCCTTCCCTTTCCCCCACACTCTTTTGTGGCCATTTTCAGTTTATATGTCCTTCCCGTTCCACTAAGTCATTGGTATTTTACGCACCATTTTTATGGCATATGCTTGGTACTTTGCAGTTGCTTGCATGTGTCGCTGCTGTTGCACAGTAGATATATGCATATTTTTCCCAAGCTGTTCATGCTGTTATAATCTTCTTGAGCTGAGGTGCCACCAGAGCCTGGAGTAGGCTTCCGTTGACCTATCTAACCAGTCCTCTTCCTCCTGTCTCTTTTGAACTATTTCCAGAGGTATGGCTTACCTTTTCTTTTCCTATTTTTCTTAGTTTTCAGAATGAATTAACTACAATTCATGTCTAACTTCTGAGCAGTTGCTAAGTGCAGGCAAGAAGGATTCTTAACCTTCTCCTCTTAAGGAAGAGGATTTCCCAGGTTTTATTTAGGAATAGAAGGAGATGTTCAGACCTACTCAAGGGATCAGGAACTCCCTGAAGTCTTGAGTGTTTAATTTGCTGCTTGTGTGGAGCAGAAATTTTTAAAAATGCCTGATCTCTGAGTACCAAGGAGGCAGTTGATGCCTTTCATTTGCTAGGGTAAATGTTAAGCAATTGAGACTCTTTGGCCACAGTTTTATTCTAGATGTGTGCACAAGGGAAACGTTGGTACAATCGGTCAATGGTAAGGAATGCTGTTTTTTTAAAAAAGGGAATCTTGGGAATTCTTCACTCAGATGACCTCTAATTTAGATCAATAATTCTACTCACCACCTGCAGAAACCATGCCAGATTTCAAGGCAGTTAGATAAGCATGGGGATTATATAGCACTTAGAAGAAACTGACCTTTAAACAGAAGACTTTTCAGAAAGGTGTGAAATGACCTATTCATCATAGTTGCATGTCCTGAGCTGAGTGAGAATACAAAATGGAGAAGAATATGGCTTGAGACATAAATGTAGCTTGATACAACAGCTCCGAGACATGTGAATTGCTCCATTAATTTCAGGAAGAATTTTCTCATCCTCTTTCTTCCCTGAGAGAAATGAAGAGTGAAGCACATCCGTCCTTAGCTCTTCACCCCAGCTTGCTGTCGGCTTACAGCATCACAATCCCTCTGTAGGGTACACGTGAAAGAGAGAAGGGGAGAGCAGGTAGGGGAGGAGAAATTCACATATCCAAAGAGATTGTCAGATCTCAATAAAAGGAACCGAAAGGTAGATGAGACTTGAGCGGGATGCTGCTTCAAGAGACCCAGATCTCACAACGGGACAAGAGGAGGGAATTAGAGAAACCAGTCCCAGACATGTTGAGAGGGGGAGTGTTTTTCAGTTCCCTCTTCTATGCTGAAATGAGTACAATGC